AAGTTGCGTCCAGTCTGCCTGCACAGTCCCAACTGTACAGCTCGTACAAGACACATACCACCTTGAAGGGCCTCATCGGTATGACCCCAGATGGTGCTGTGGCGTTCATCTCCGAGTTGTTCACTGGATCTATCAGTGACCGCGAGCTAACGATCAGAAGCCACTTCCTAGATCTTCTCCCAGCAGCCGGGTATGGGACATCGATTATGGCAGATAAAGGATTCGACATCCAGGATCTTTTAGTGACGTATGGCGTCAAGTTGAACATTCCCCCGTTCAAGCGATCAGGACACCAGATGGCCCTAGAAGACGTTCAGAAAACGCAACAAATCGCCAAGTTACGAATTCATGTTGAGCGTCTGATGGAGCGGATCAAGGAGTTCAACATCTTTTCCAAGATTGTTCCAACAACTCTTTTCCCCATCATCAATCAGATATGGACAGCCTGTTGTCTTCTCATATTGTTCCAGGCTCCTTTACTTGCTGATGCAAATTAAGTTATCCATGCCAACTGTTGCTAGCATTGCATGGCGAATTAATCTTCAGCAACACGAATTTCGTCATGCCTGAACAGTCATGCACAATCATATTACTGAGCAGATAATGACTTCCTCTGTACAAAATTTGTAACGATATAATTTTGATTGCAATATTTACATAAGTTCAATGAATAAAGTTAGTCTTGCCGGTATTGTTATTACGGTCACAACGGACCTACAACGGCGAATATATTATACATGTATTGTACAACCATATGCATGAAGTTGAAATGATTCGAATTTTATCTTGCAGGTTCTTTTCAGTTTGAGGCCTAATTACATGCTATTGCATTTGATCTGTATTTTACGATTTCAACCCATTACAAGATAACAATGTATAACTGGGAAGAAAAGAATGAAATGTAATAATAATGATTCAAGTGCACAAACAGCTGCCAGGCAATGTTCTCAATCAGCCTGGAAAACCTGACCGGCAGAGATTTCCGTGGCCTTTTTCAGATGGGATGAGCAGAACTGTAGCAGGCGTGGAAGTAGATCCTTCTTCCAAAATTCATCGTCGAACAAGATGCGTTCCACGGAAAGTCGACGAGGCCCAGTCCAGATGACAAAGTTACACCAAGATAAGCCAGACACACCAAGTTGCCCTTGAACTTGGTAGTAGTACGCGTGACTAGCACGGAGTCGGGGTTGACCATTGACAAGCTCACAGCAGAAGTCTGGCAATGAACAGGCCTCAACAGGGGTTAAGTCATCGCCATAAGCGGTGTGCGGACACTTTATCTCCAGCAAACCATTTGGATCGGCTGGACAGGACCATCATAGACTTGGCCGTCAGGACTAGCGCCAATGTACTGGTAAACAGGGTGGATGACCAGACCACATTGCCGCACCTCATAGTCCGCGTTGCACATTGTTTGCTTGCTTGCCAAATAATCCCTTCTGGCCAAATCCTCACAGGCTCTTCCATGAGAAACCGCTCCAACTCGAGACAAATCCTTGTCCTGAAAGAGGCTCGTCACGAATGCATCTGTCACCTCCTTCCGGTGAGTTACGAGGTGGAAGCCTGAAGAAGTCAGGGTGATTCTCCTCAGTCTTTTCCACAATTCACTGCTACCCTGACTACGAGTGAGCCGTTCGATGGCTATGGTTTTGGTATGGAGTAGCGGTCGTGCAAACTCATCACCTTCCCTAGCAGACTTCGGCAGTGGTAAATCACAGAAGCGCTGGCTGGTAGAACACTCAGCGCCAGCAGGTTGTTGGCTGGCAGGTGATTCTGAGGTGGCGTTTCGATCATCACTTGCTGTTTGCGAGCTGCACGCTGCCAGCTGCGGTTGGTCCGCTATCGCCACAAATGGTCGCTTTCTAGCTGGAGGCACATCAACTTTATCCCCCTCGAGCTGGTGGTAACACAGCACTGAGCCGAATGGGACAGCGCCCACCTTGGACTGACACTGGTGCACCTCCTCTCCACGCGACAGCAAAGTTGCAATGGGGTACCTGCGGCCGGTTGGGGTGATCTCATCCAGCAGGCGATCAAGTTCCTCACACTTAATCTCTTTGGTTGAAGGACCTCTCGCCTCATAGAGTGAGGATGCTCGCCGGACACTCTGAATGTCATCCATATTCTTCGACGGATCCGCTTTTTCAATTACGAGTGAAGAAACTGGCTGTGCGACAACTTGACGAGGCCGAGGACCCCAAGCCTGCTTCTCAGTTGTGCAAGTCTGCTCTGCTGGTCCATCCTGCTGCTTCTTCGCACAGTGCTCGATGCTTAGCAGCAGTGCGACGAGATGATGGCACGAGCCAGCAACTCAAGCAGTGCAAGAGAAGTGTGCATAAGCGATAGACATCAGGTAAGTTGTAGCAGCTGCTTCAACTAAACACTCAAGTGCAAAACTTTCATTCTTGGACTGGGACGCCCAGCACTTGGCTTTGATGAAGTATCTGGTCGGGGTCTCAGTAGACATTGCAATCTTGCAACAGCTCACAGAATGTATGTAACTCCAGAAGAAGAAGTTGAATCCGCGGGTGAAGGGCTTTTTCACGGTAGCATGCTTGCCGCAGGCTCGGAGGTGATCGAAAATCACACCAAGCGATAGGTTATTTGGCAAAGCAGAGCTTGATGTGTCCCACCCTGTGTCAGGAAAACTAGGACGAGATATAGCTGCTACAGTGGACGAGGTGCTTATTGCATCACTATGTGCTTCCACGAGCTCAGCGTCAACAATGCTCTGAATGGCAGCACTCTTCCGTTTTCCTTGCCGACGCCTGCCGCCAGATGTATCTGGAGTGCGCAGTTTTGGATCGTTGTGGTAGAACCTGGCCCTGAACAGATGGAGGAAGTTGGAAAGCAAAAACATGTACCGATAAAATTTCCTTTTCCTTTTGTGAAAAGTTATTTGAAGACTGCATCCCGAAGTGGTACTTACCGTTCGAGCAACTCATCTCGTTTCCCGGACACTCGGGATCCTCTAGCTCGCAGGTACGTCTTCAACTGGTTCACCGTCCATTTTTCAAACAATTTGTTGTCCGGAGGCATCACAAACCGAACATTGGGATCTTCAATTTCATTTTCAGTCACAGGACTAGTTTCAACGTTCCCTTCATCGCAACGTATCGCGGCAAGAGAAGAAGGGCTCGGTTCATGGCCCGCTTCATCAGCCATGTATCAAACTCACTGCAAAGGCCCAGCGAGAAGTAAATGCAAAGAGATACGTTCTAAACAAACAGCGGACAGCGTTGAAAAGCGAGAATAAAACAGAAACCCTTCGCTGTCAGTTTTTTCGATCCAGGAGAGCCACATTTTTCTGGCCACGTGGGCGAGTACACGCCAAACGCGGTGATTGATCGTTGCGGTTCCAAAACAGGAGCTCGCGCTGGGAGGAACGCACTGCATGTACCCTGTGTCACGCATTCAGTACGCATGCCATGCCCCGCCAAGTCACTGCGTGTCTTATTGGGCAAAAGACCTATTCATCTGCAAACCATGTGGAGCGATGCTGTAATTTGTGCTTAAACAGAGTGTTGTAAAGCACCAGCCCATGCTCACCACACAGGTCTTAGAGTCTATCACCATTGGCATTGTTAGATGTATGTTTGGAGTAAGAACCTACTGGGCCACTTCTCCCTCCGACCGAGCTTCCTATTTTGGCGTTAAAATCTTCAAGTATCCACAGTTCATCTCTTCGTTTCACTTGGCCTGCAATGTAACTCAGGACGGAGTAGAAGCTGTCAGTTTCAGCAGGATATTTTGTAGAGCGCTGCAGGGTTGGAGCATAGCAGCACACGACGGTAACTGTTCTCCTGTCCCTGCGCGGATTTATAGCGAGTAGGATCGAGATGATTTGTTCCGAGTAGAATTTGTACGAGACAATATTATTTTTAGCCGTTTGTGGATAAGTATTCCAAGACCGGCACGACCAGACGACCCTCCAGAGCGATACATGACATGTCCGTTGTCCATTGTGTCAACTCCATTTCCATCAATCCAGGTCTCAGTCACTCCGAGCACGTCTAGGTCGTATTGTTCAAAGTCCGGAATAATAAGTTGTTTCTTTATTTTACTTCTCAACGAGCGAGCATTGAACGTTCCCGCTCGGCACCGGGTTTTGCCCGAGCCTTGTCTCCTAAAAACAGAACAACATCCCTCATCTCTAGCGTCACCGCCGCTCATCAGGCTCAGCACATTGCTGGAAGAACGAGTACTCTCACAAGAGTGAGAGCTGACGTTAGTTCACTCCGCCATTAAAATCAAAAAATAGCACTCGATATGAATAGCACTCGATATGAATTGACAAATTCGACCATTCAGCGAATTTTGGGTAGTCTGCCACCTTAACATAATTATTATTATTGTACAATTCTACTCATAGGCTTAGACTATAGCCGAGAACTCCGGAGTCAAAATCTACACAACAAGGAATAGAAGATAAGCATTGGGCACTTGACAATTTTCAAAAATGCACTTCCATAACATTATGGCCGAACGAACTAGGCAAACTCAAACATTACAACATTCTGCAGCTGTTGCGTTGCCCGTGTTGTGCTACAGGATTCTACTCAGCACTATCTACAAAATTAAACATACAGGAAGTCGCCTTTCCTTCATGTTCTACTAAAGGCTATCTTTCCTCTTCTGTCTTCTGTGTGTTTCTCTCCCCCCACCCCCCCCCCCCCAATCAACATATCCATAAGCCGGATTTTCCTTTCTTTGTGCTTCTTTGTGCTTCGTACTTTCGTACTGTTGCCGTGAATGTTCCTTTTCCTTGAATCCCGGAGACAACCTAGATAGACCTTTAGGTTTGGTCGTGAGTCAGTCCAGTATCAATTGTGTTGTCAGGAAGTGTGCGATTCAGCTTTTGGAGCAGTCTGTGACACTACGCAATGAGAAAATTACAAATTTGCGATATGAATGCTAGAGTTTTTTTGTCTGGAAAGAGTCCTGTATTGCTCGCTGTAATGCTCATCTCTTGTGTTTTCAATATCTTCTTCCTTGTGCAGCGCCGATACGACATGAGCCCCAGGCTGCACATGAAAGTCAGTTACAAGACAATATGTAAAGCGCTCTACACAGCCGTGGCAGTGGCGCACTTGAAGGCTGACATAATGTATTTGTTATACAGGGGACCAAGAGCATTCAAGGACTTTTCCTTTTTGAATTTGTGTACCGTCAAACGGTCGTTAGCTAGTCTCCCAGTTTTGACTAGAATCATGCAGACGGGTTCAGACACGATGCAGCTGAATTATCTCCTAGATCTGCCCGGTTTCAACATTTCCTCCCTTGTTGCGGAAAGTCAAGCGCTGATTACCTTCCCCAATTTATCAGAAGAGGATCTCAGACGACGGTATACTGGTGAGATATTTGACAATGGGAACACCCGAAGTTATGCGCTGAGCAGTCTACAGGAGATGGAGGTGGCCCGATACGGCTCTGTAGAGGCATACCAGGCTGTCCTTCTAGAGGAGATGCTTGGGTCAACACCGGAGCTGGAGAAATATTTAGTTTATCACTACCGATCTGAGAAATGGTCTCAAGTTGCTGACTACTTGCGCGATCGCAAAGTTAAATTTGAGGTAGAGGTATTGCTTGACTCCATCGGTGAAACGTGGTTCGGCTCGGTCATGACTCAAGTAGTACGGAAAATTCGCAAGCATCATTCCGCAGTAGAATCGTACCTCGAAAATCGTCTCTTTATGTCCATCGAAGATTACTTCGGTGCTTGTGCAGAATACCACAGGCAGCAACACAAGAAAATGAACAGATTTCAATGGTTGCGTCACCAGAAGGCTCTTTTCCCAGGTTTTGGCAGCTATATTGCTATCCGATATCCTGATCACAATGTGTGGACAAGAGAAGAATTACTTGACACCATGACAGAGTATGGTAACACACTGGACCCATAGAGCCAGAATCGGGCTGCAGTGAGTGAATGAGCCCATAGAGCCAGAATCGGGCTGCAGTGAGTGAATGAGCCCCAGCCACACCAGCCATCTCATTAGCTGTTCTCCTGTTGTGAAATTCCCCATTCATCTATCACACTAAACGTGCTATGTTGTTATTGTTTACACTTGACCCGCACGAGTTGAGTACATGTAATTACATGTAGATTGTATTGTGTTCATCAACTATGCATGGCCTTTTTTACCAGGCGTGGGCCATCCCCTGATTTCATAGGTGCCAAACATTTTTACGTTTTTCAAAATATAAATAAATAATGTTTATAAATAAATATTATTTTTTTACATCTGTACTATTGTATGGCCTTAGCGGCTCAACTACGATTGACGTCAATGTGGTAATGTCACACCCCTCACCTCTCTTTTTTTAGTTTATAGCGATCACATTACAACAGTCATAGTATTTCCATTCCTATTAATACCTCTGATGGCTGGATACCAGTTTCATCAAGTCGACAGAATGCTCAGTTATGGGTGGCAACATGATTATGCCTGCTGTTGAATCATGCTGGTGTGATTGATTCTCTGAATTCTTATTTTGTGACGGACACTATCTGATGCCTGTCCGTTAGATAACTCGCCAGCCACTCACTGATCCTTATGCACAGATATACAGCATTCCCTCACTAGTGGGACCATTGTTATTAGGCTAGGGCCTGTTTTGGACTTCCCACTCTAAATAAAGAATGCAAACAAAAAACAAACAAACACTCCAGAGCCAAACCATCAATATGTTAGGTTCACGATCTCACATATGCACGCACTTGCACACTCGTAAGCACTCGCACACTCGTACGCACTCACACACTCAGGCTGCGTTTACACGACAACGATTGAAAACGATTTGCGTTTACACGACAACAAAATACGACCTAAATGGAACGAAATCGTTGCGTTTACTACTATCGTTTACACGACAACGCCCGAACACGATACCTAAACGGAACGAATTGGAAACGCACTTCAAAGTGTTTTGAAAGTGTTTTGAAACGTTTTCAAAACGTTTCCGTTCTCGTGTAAACGGTGAAAACAGTGAAAACGATTGGAAACGGAGTGCGGTCATGGAAACCATTCCGTGCTGGAGTATATTTCGCGGGAAATACCAAATCCTTGCGACCACTATACCAACTCCAACTAACGTGTTACTTCCCGCCCTTGAGCCAAGCCAGCACTTGCTAACTCCACTCCTCTCCAGCCTGATCGCCCGTTAACGCGTTTTCCGTTTTCGTGTAAACGGTTCAAAAACGATTTGCCGTTCTCGTGTAAACGGTACAAAAACGATTTGCCGTTCTCGTGTAAACGGTTTGAAAACGATTCGAAGCCAACCGGTTTTCGTTCCGTTCCGTTTCGTTTCGTTTCATTCCGTCTCCGTGTAAACGCAGCCTCATACTCACCTTTACACTCTCGTACTCACCTTTCTTCCCGTTTCTAACCTTTTCTTCCGTTGGCCTGGGTAGCTAGATTCGCGCTCTAGTACATTCATTTCCATAGCTACTCAGGCCCTTGATAAGCGCTGACTTGGACTTTTCACTCTTTCTCTTTTCACCGAATCTCGACTTGAGACTAAGAGTTGTTGACCTTCGTCCTCTGTGACTGTTCGCGTATGTGAACCAGTGATCCTTACATTGACGCCCGACCTTTCGCTCGACCTCACGACCCTGAGAACCGTAAGTACTCCTAACTGTATTGCGTTTTACTTGTGTCTCGTTTCGTTTCAACTCGACTTCGTTCTTGTAGCACCTTGCTCGTAATTTTAGCTTTCAATCTTTATATCGTTCTGAACTTTTGTTGGGCGCCCGTTTTGCGTTTTACTTGTGTCTCGTTTCGTTTCAACTCGACTTCGTTCTTGTAGCACCTTGCTCGTAATTTTAGCTTTCAATCTTTGTATCGTTCCGAACTTTTGTTGGGCGCCCTTTTTTCTATCATTCCAAACTTCTGTACCGTTCCAAACTTTCTAAACGAAAATGACTGTTGATCCGTGTCGCATACCTGCTGGTAGTTTTCCTGTGTTTTCTGGCGCGCCTGGCAAATATATCGAAGTATTATTTTTAGAGTTTGATTCGGCTTGCGAGGCGTATGGTTTTCCACCTGTCGAGCGCTGCGAAAATTTGTTAGATGCCGATTTCTTTCAAATGGTGAGCGGTACTATTCGGCCAATAAAATGTAAAGAACTCTTCCTCTCCTCTCCTCCATGCGCTCTCACAGCCGACTCACTGCTACCCTCAGTAGCCATTACACACACCAACCAAGGAAGGGTTGCAGGTAGATACTGAAATTCCTCCTGACAACTGTTTCGCCTTCATAAGGCTCATCAGAGAAGGTGATATTGAATAGGATGATATCAGGTGGAGATGGTCAGATTTATACTACAAAACATAGGCGCAAGATTACAGGCAAAGTGTGAGAATGAGAAGTTACAATTCTCCAGCAACACAGTGCCAGGGGTTCCAAGAAAATGGCAGGTGAGTAATCTAATCACAAGCTGCTAACCTCTCCAGCAACACAGTGCCAGGGGTTCCAAGAAAATAGCAGGTGAGAAATCCAATCACAAGCTGCTAACATTAATTTTCTAACGGGTAGGTGATAGTTTTTAAAGAATTTTGGCGAGCCACCAAACAAAGTGAAAAAAAGTAGAGTACTAAGCGTGCAGTGCAGCAAAAGTTACAAAGAGTGCACACACGCATGAATGGACTGTAGTTACATGTAGATCTACTTTTCACTTGGGCAGTTCTCCAGCCAACCGCGCAGGCATGCAGAGACGCACTAGGTCGCTGTCCCCGCAGAGTGCCCCTTCGGCGTTCTCCCGAGCAACAGATCTCCGCTGGCCGTCACACCTTGCTGCGCACCGTACGTGGCCGGGCCGACCGCTACCTCGCGCTGTCTCCATTTGCGCCTCCGTTGCTCGCTGCCGTTGAACGTCGAGACAACCCGGCCGAGCGTGGCGAAAGCAGAAATGAGAGTCCTAGGAGGAATTCGCTCGTCTGCCCCCACAGCTGAGTTGTCGACGAAGACCATGCTTCCAACTTGAAAACGAAAGATTAAATATAAGGCAAAGGGGAAACGCAATTGCCGGACACAAAGCCTTTAGAACGACATTGGTCAGACGATCTAGCCCTGGTGACTATCGCGGTTTGGATCTTATGATATTATACTTACGCACCGCAGCAGTCGTAATGTACAGAGTAGAAAACAAGGAAGAGATGGAGCAGTGTCTATTCAATGTGGGGCAAGGCCAGGATGGATCATCCATCACAGCCACTGAAGCGAACTGCTCATTCAGCGCAGAAGCTTTTGCAACTGGGTCAGTGGCTAGACACCCAGACGCTGGCTGAAGGTCAGGAATGGACATGCGATTGACAGTAGGACGTTGACTTCGTACAAACTGATACAGAGTAGGTCTTGCGGAGGCGTCAGAAAAAGTAGATCATACTGAACGGACATGCAATCGGTGAGCAGATCTTGAGAGAGAGCAGACTAGGTTACGCTGGGTTTTAAAGGCTGTTTTATTACTTGCAGTTGGATACTTTTTGAAGATACTGTACAAATCATGTTTCAACTTGATGGCTTTGCTCAGGGCTGACGTCACCCAGGGTAGGTATGCATGTTGTTTCTGGGTCTTCACAGAGCATTGGACAGATCAAGGGCGCAATTTCAGGTGATTCAGAAGCACGCAATTTAATTCCTCATTAAACTGGGCAAGGGACAGACTGGGATCCGTGCGGGATAACAATGCCGCCAGTCTCGCTTCATCAACTCGCAGTTCACCAGTGACCATATCTCTCTAGGCACATTCCTGAAGCAAAATACAACCTCTTGGGAGGGGGCTGGCAATTGTGAAGCCGAAGAGTCTGACAAAAGAAGCGGGTCAAGATGAAACAGTAGCTGAAGATGATCTGAGGCGCCAAGTGGAGGGGCAGAGTCAATCCTGCGGACGAGATTCGAGCTGTTCGTGACAAGCGGATCAAGGCAGGATGATGGGCCAGGTCGGGCTGTACGCGCTGGAAAATCAATCAGCTGCTGGAGGCGATAGCTGTGGGACAGAAGATCTAGCTCTGTGCCAATCGGTGAGGGGTGATCTGAAGAACACCAAGACGAATTATGAGCATTGACGTCCCCGTGATGAAAATTGTAGTAGATGGAATGTCGAAGGAGGTCAGGGCACCTTCCAGCATATGGCAAAAGTTTACAGAAGCCTCAGTTGCGATGCGGGATGGAGGTCGGTAAACAGAGCCTACCAAGATAAGCTGATTCCAGGTATTTGAGTGCAGTTCAACCCACACCATTTCACACAAGTCGTGGGACAAATCAGGCCTAGACTTCACCGCCCGAAAAGTTCCCTGTTTGACCAGGATGGCAACTCCTCCATAGCCACGGGTTACATCAGTTGCATGACGATTTTCATTTACAGGTCTATCCCGGCGGAACCAAACATAGCCAGGTACACAAAACGGTTGATCCGGCGCTAACCAAGATAATGACGTAGCCGGCTGAAGTTTGAATCGTCTCAAACAGATTTGAGCGTTCGGCGATGAAGGAGAGTGGAATGGCGTTGATGGGATGAATTTGCTTGCATATCAGGCTTGGAGACGACTTTGCTGTGTTACCGCGCCTGATTTGTGGCGGCTAGATAATGTAGATTGGTACCCTGGCGTTGCTCTCGACAAGAGCTTTCCAATGATCCCTTGATTGGGAAACATTTTCTTCGCTTCGCTTGCCCGCACAAACGGGGGCATGTTGAAGCCGGGCAGGAGAATTAACTTTGGCTTCCACGGCTCATATTGCTCTGGGTCATTCTGCATTATTTGGCTGAGAACGGGAAGACAATATACAGAACTGCTGATCCTGTTGGCTATGTCTTGCGTGAAGTCCTTGTAGATCCAACGAAGAAAAAACCAATCACTCCACTTCAAATGTGCCAATGACACAGCTGTGTAGAGTGTTCTGCATATGGCTTTGTTACTGATGTTCATGTGAAGCTTGGGACTGATCTTGTAGCGGTTCTGCACAAAGTAAAGCATTGGGAGATACGGTAAATGCACATTGAATCAAGGCTAAATCAAGAAGTCTTTCAAAAAGGGTTTTTCTGGCCTACCTATGTCACATGTGATCGCGAAAGGGAGGCGTGAACTAACATCACGTCATAATGTCACAGAGAGGCGTTATTGAAAGCAACATTTGTCGTAATACTTGTATTTCTCGAACTGCGCTTACTCCACTG